AGGATATAGCCTGTGATTAAGCCACCCCTTAACCTTTTCTTTGTTAAACTAAACAGATTGAGCTTCTTGAGTCTTTCACTATAATGGCATGTTTTCCAATCCTTTGAGCATTCTCGTGGGTCTTCACTGAACCCTCTCTAATTTATTAACATCTGTCTTCAATTGTGGACATCCCAACTGAACACAGCCTCATATGCCCTTAAACAAACAGCTATGTTAACTTCAACTCCATCAAAAACAAAGTAGTGATTGGCAGTGATTTTAAGTAATTCCACAATTTATTTTTATTAATTTATTTGAACTGGTAATTCCAAGTATCTTGAAGCACCAGCAGTCTCCATGGAGGCGCTTTCCACAGGAGAAAAAAAAAACAAATTTGATGTTAGTAATAACATTAGGGATAATTTAGGGATAATGTGACATAATGTTTCCCTTTTAATTATTCCTTTCCCCTGCCTTCCTATCAGACAGGTGCATTATCACATTTCCTTCCCCCCGCACTCCAGATTTTATGGAAGGATAAGGATTAAAAGGGAACATGAGTACCAAAAGTTGCAAATGTTTGAAAATACATTTTTTAATTTAATCATTGTCTAAGGCCTGGTCTACACTAACCCCCCAAGTCGAAGTAAGGTACGCAACTTCAGCTACGTGAATAACGTAGCTGAAGTCGACATACCTTACTTCGAACTTACCGCGGTTCAGACGCGGTCCACACGCGGCAGGCAGGCTCCCCCGTCGACTCCGCGGTACTCCTCTCGTTGAGATGGAGTACCGCAGTCGATGGCGAGCACTTCCTGGTTCGATTTATCGCGTCCAAACCAGACGCGATAAATCGAACCCGGAAGTTCGATCCCCAGCCGCCAAACTAGCGGCTAAGTATAGACCAGCCCTTAGGCTAGTCTACACTAGAGAGTTTATAGTGGCGCAGGTGTACTGATGCAGCTGTGCTGCTATAAGATCTCTTGTGTAGCTGCTCTATGCCGACGGGAGAGAGCTCTCCTGTTGACATGATTAATCTACCCTCAATGAGTGGTAGATGAGTAGCTATATTGGTGGGAGAAGCTCTCCCGCAGACATAGCGCTGTGCACACAAGTGCTTATGATGGCATAATTTATGTCAGTCATCATGGGGGTGGAATATTCACACCCCTGAGTGACATAGGTTTAGCTAACATTAGTGGTAGTGTGGACATAGCTTTAGACTCAATAGATAGTGAGAGAGAGCTTTCAGGGAACCAAGGGCCTCATCTAAAGCTAATTAAGTCAATGGACGAGCTCCTATTGACTTCAGGGGCTTTGGATCAGGCCCTAAAGGGGAGAGGGAAGAAAATTAATTAATACTGTCACTATCTTCCTCTAGCACAGGGATCGGCAACCTTTGGCACGCGACCCGCCAGGGTAAGCACCCTAGCGGGCCGGGCCGGTTTGTTTACCTGTCACGTCCGCAGGTTCGGCCGATCGCGGCTCCCACTGGCTGTGTTTCGCCGCTCCAGGCCAATTGGAGCTGCGGGAAGCGGCGCGGGCCGAGGGATGTGCTGGCCACCGCTTTACGTCATCCCCATTGGCCTGGAGTGGCGAACCGCGGCCAATGGGAGCGGCGAACCACGGCCAGTGGGAGCCATGATCGGCTGAACCTGCGGACACAGCAGGTAAACAAACCGGCCCGGCCTGCCAGGGTGCATGCCTGGCCCGCCAGGGTGCTTACCCTGGTGGGCCGTGTGCCAAAGGTTGCCGATCCCTGGTCTAGCACTTGAGGAAGATATCCTACAAAACCTGCAATCCTGAGACCAGAGGATGCAGCTTTTGTCTCCAAATTTGATTGCCTGCATGGATCCAGCAGGCCAGTCCCTTAATTCAGTAGTTATTAAACAATAAAATATCTGAAAATATGGTTTGGCTTTTATTGTTAGTTCCATAAGTCCCGACTGTGTTTGGCGTTCAGCAGATTTAACCAATATATTTTTTCCTAGAGCAAAAATGGAAAATTATGAGGATAAGAAGTTCTTCACTTATCACACACAGCATGCTGTATTTCGGGATGTGATTGGTGAACTTAGAGGTAAGTCTGAGTGATATATTTTGACAGCCTGCAAAAAATAAGAGACCAGATTCAGGCAGACACTGCTTCCCAGAAATCGCTGCCCAGCTTCAGGTAGAAGTTTTCTCTGCTATTCTGCCCCCTACAATACGTTTGGAAAGGCCACTTCACAGGCCCTCAGAGACAGTAGCAGTAGAGATGTGTTCTGGGGTGGGGCTAGTGGTCAGTAGGTGTGGTCTATGTGTTTATGTGTAAACATCATATGATCTGAAAATAGTCCTGGCAAAAAGATCTGTTGCTGTCATGAGGCTTCTGCTCTCCAGAATATAGGTGTACATTAATGCTACGTTTGCAGTGTGCACGTGGGCCTGTCTTGGGGACCGCTTCACATAGTTTTTGAATTTGGCCTACTAAATTGTGAAATGAGTTTCACTATGGTGTATTAAATGGGACAATAATGTTTGGTTGGTTTGCGGTGGAAGGTAGTAAATTAATTTAGGGCTTGATCCTAAGGTCATTGAAATCAATGATAAAACTCCCATTGACTGTAGTGGTGCAATATCAGGGCTTTATGCAGGAAAGTTCAGCTGAGAAACAGCATGGGGTTTTCAATGGGAAACCAATCTTAACCTAATTTTCCAGCAGGGTCTGAGACACAAAATGTTTAGGAACTTAATTCTGCTCCAATTGACGCTAATAGCAGAACTCCAATTAACTTCAAAAGGGGTAGGATGTAACCCTAGTTTTAAGATTACATAGTGAGTCTCTTCCAAATTAGAGGTGATGTCCCAGGTACTGTCCCCCTGCTCACTGCTCTGCATGCAGTCTTCCTTTGGTTGTTTTGTGTCACGTTATGTTTTTCTTTCTGCCATTCTGCAACTTTATAATGCATTTATTTTTATATGACTGGATCCTTTAAACCCATCACTCTGACCACTCATTCACTGTGCAATAAGGTTCAGAGTTTGCAGGACTGAGCTCTTACTTACTTACTGAAACTTGAAATTGGATGATATGTCTTTGGAACAATCTTCCCTGGGTGTACAATACCAAGGATATAAATCATGACTACAGCTTGATGTTTGCAGATGGCTGTTACCAGGTTTGACATAGCAGACTCATTTGATATGGAGGAAATGCAATGCATTGTTCATATGTTTAAGCTGAGAATCCAAAGTACTGAGACACAACTCTATGTAAAATTCCTAGAGCCTTGATTCTCCATTGCAGTATGTAGTTATTTACAGCTGTGCAAAGGGAGGGCAAAGTGGATGTATAATTCTATCATCAATGCAAGCGAATAAAGAAGTGTTTTGTTTGCTCCAGTAGATGGCACTATGTTCCCCTTGGGCTAAGTTTACCTATAGGTTCAATGCCAAAAAGGAACTGAGATTTTTCACTCTCTCTCATTACGGCATACCTATTTCATTTTAGAGCTAAATTTATATCCATCCCTATAAACCTGATGTTGCAACACTTTTTAAAATATTGTAAATTGTTTACATTAAAATGCAGAATTGCAGAAATATTACACTACTATTTACCACTTATACGGCACTTTATATTTTCAAATTATTCTCACAGATAGGTAAGTATTATTATTCCTATTTTACGGGTGGGGAAACTGAGGTACAGAATTTAAGGCCACACAGTAATTCAGCTTCACAGCCAGCATTAGAATTCAAGAGATTCTTATGCATAGTAACAACAAGGAGTCCGGTGGCACCTTAAAGACCAACAGATTTATTTGACCATAAGCTTTCGTGGGTAAAAGACCACTTCTGAAGAAGTGGTGGAGTCCGGTGGCACCTTAAATAAATCTTAGTCTTTAAGGTGCCACTGGACTCCTTGTTGTTTTTGTGGATACAGACTAACATGGCTACCCCTGATACTTGTGCACACTAACATTACTGTTAATATTAACATATTAATTAATATATTAACATTCGCTTTACACCCTTAAATGTCACTGAAAAACACATTTAAAAAAACCAGGCAAATTAAAGGCTTAACTAGCTAATTGCTGCTTCCCAAGCAATGGAAAAATGTGCCTATTAAAATTGGATCTGCTATTATGGCTAAAGGAGTACTGAGGCACATGTTTTCACTGATGTTTCTATGCGACTGTTTTAAGTTAGATGACTGACGTGAAAAACAGTTGTAGCCAAGTTGAAAAGCCTGCAGACATATAATGAAGGACTAACCGAAAGGGAAGTGGGTGAGGCTACTACATCCTGTGTTTATTATATCTCCTTTGTGCTCATTGCACCAATTCCTGAAGGCCATCTTGTAGTTTCTTTGATAATAATAGGGCCTGATCTTGCAAGCCATCACTCAGCAAAGGCAAGGCTGGGCAGTCTCAGTGAAGTCAGGATCCTATGTCTGAAAAGTATTTTGAAGTTAAAAAATGCTAAGAAAAGGTAAAATGGAATTATTCCATGTTTCCGTAACAATACAATGTAAAGCATAGGAGTTAGAACAGATCTTTTAGATAAGCCTTACTGTTTCCCTGCCAGTGCGGGACTCTACTTACAGAACATTTTCCAGTGTTTTGTACAGTCTTATTTTTAAATATGACAAGCAAAGGGATTTCCTTTACTCCCCTGGGGAGACAATTCCACAGCCTAAATAGCTTTTGCTGATGGGAAGTTCCTCCCAATTTCCCAAAGTTCAGTTTCATCCCACTACTCCTAGGTACGCATTCCTCTATGACCCAAAATGATTCTGCAATAAAATAAAGCCAGTTGTGCCTTTGGATTTCATTTCTCTCTGCTGTCCACTTGCAAGCTTCCTTCACTTTCCTGGCTGGCTGCTGGCACTCTAGGAGAGACATGCTGTTTTGTTTAAATCCTCCACATTCTTTGCTGTGCCATATCCCCATTGGCCGGATGGGGCCATCCTTCCTGCTGTAGCTGCTGATGTCAGACACACACTCAGACCCGAGCTGAGGCTGCTGCTGCAGAGACTCCTCAGTTCTGCTAGCTACAACTCACACACACAGAGCTGTGGTGGGGGAAACCCAAGCCCCAGGAAGGATCAAAGGTGTGTGTGGGGGGAAATATCAGGCAGCAGATCCAGTCTCTCCCCCACAGTGCAGAACTGGTGCGTGCATAATAGCAGCTGTAATACAGAGAGGAAGAGGGAGCCTTGTTTATCAGCTTGTAAAGGAAACGTTATAAAGCCTTTGTCTTGGAAGTAAGCATCTCATCCTTGCTGCTGCCACTGCTCCAATGTGCTGCTGTTGGTGACATTAATATTTTAGGCTGGTTGTGGGTTTTTTTGGTTTCTCCAGGCATGTCTTGATATAGCTGAAAAGGAACTGTCGTTTTAATACATTTCCAGCGGATGTCTTTGACTTTAAAGATCGCATTTGATGTTTGAGACTTCTTTGTGTGTATGTATGTGTGAAATTCACATGATCTCAGTTTGAAGGAGGAAGAACTGGAAGAAAGGAGCAGTTGTATTGGTTTTTCTTCTTGCTGGGTCATCCCTCCTGGATGATAGTGTTGGGGTCTTTTGAACACATTGTCAAGTACACACTCGACCAGGGGCTTGATTCATTTTTTGGGTTTTGTTTTTGCCTTGATCAGAGTGCAGAAATAACCACTCTTCTCCAGCTTTGCTGATTTGCAGCAGAAATATGCTCTTGAAGGAGTACCGGATCTGTATGCCTTTGACAGTTGAAGAGGTAGGTGCATTTACTAATAATGCTTATAGTGCATTAACTTATTTGTCCTTTCCCCCCCCATCTTCCCCCCCCCCCCAAATGATGGCTCAAAGGGAGGTTAGAAAAACATTAGTTATTTTGTGTTTATTTTACTGTCATTTTTCTTTGTATAATGAAATCTTTCCTGTTGTGATTGGTGTAGCAAAGCATATTTCCATTGCAAAATAAGGAAATCTTATGTAAGTGAAAGTAAGTGTAGTGAATTCACTGTCATCAAGGTATTAGCTGTAAAAATTTAGAAATCAAACTTTTTGAAAGGGTTGATGTGTGTTGAGATCTAGAATCTGATAAAGCATTTGTCCAATAAACCCAACTTCTAAATACATGAAAACCTTCCTTCTTTAGACTTAAAAATCTCCCTTACATCATTGTTAATAAAAATGGCCTTAAACTTCACGATTGTAGTGTGTAGATCTCTGATAAAATTATTAATCAATACGCTTTTAGTATTGAAAACGGTATTTTAAAGTCACGTTGCTTTCTGTCAATCAGACTAAACTCTCTGGGTCGTGGACATTGTGTTTTTTATTTGCCTGCAAAATATCATGCACATTTATGGCAAGGTATACATATCAAAATATGTGTATGTAATAGATTACTTATACATACATATATAGATATATAGTGAGTGTGTGTTTGTAAGTGTAAGAAATAGCTAGACAGCTAAAGGCCTACTAATGCATACATATGTGAGTATATTGGTGATGGAGCTTTCTGTTGCACAATGCCACACACAAATAAAAGTATTAGATGCTGCTTTATTAGTTCTTTATGTTGCTGAGGTGGACACTAAAAGAAGAGAGGAGATACTGTTTTGAAAGTCTGACAAATATCAATCCCTTGTCTAACAGCCCTAGACATTTGACGGTGGCTCTTCAGGTCAGTCAAAATCTGAATGTGCATAACATATTTCTTTTGCAAACAACCACACTCAGAAAAGTTTCTTTTTTCTACTTTTGCTTTCGTCAGTGTGGCAGACCATTTGGTTTCTAAGACCTTTCTGGGCCACAGGAGGGCGCTTTGAATACATTTCTTTTCCTGCAGGCTTTCATTCCCCCATCCCCCTCTCTCCTTGGTGCAGAAATGTATATAAAGGCAATGGGAATACTAATACTATAGTGATTTTATTGCAGTGAATTTGTATCACATAGTTTAAATGTAGCACTGCATTGTCTTTACATTTCTGGAAATCTGCTAGACTTCAATGATGTGTAATGTTTGTGCTTTTGGTATTTATGCAGTAAAATGTACAGACAATAGCACATTTGTAGCTAGTCCTGCATTTCTTGCACTCTACAAACTCCCACTGCAGTCAAAGAGAGCTTGGGGTAGTCTAGGAATGTAGGATTTAGCCCTTAAAGATAATACCTCTTTGGTCTCGGAATGCAATATTTGACTATTAAATATTATTACATACAAAGCGTTCCCAAAAGGTATTGTAAGCATTCCATGTTAAAATATAAAAGATGGTCACAAAATACATTTACTTTACAGATCAAAGTGTCCATTATGTTATTTGTTTAAATGGTTACTTTCAGATTAATATTTTGCTACCCATTGTGGATAACCTTTTCCCCCCAGTATATACTACGGTGGAGTCCCTGTTATCATGTCAGTAAGCACACACATCTGTATACAGTCACTTGGGGATACTCCTACAGATCTACAGAATTGGCAAATTAAAGTAATATTTTTAAACTGATGAATTTCAGATTTGGTTTTGTCATAGGGGTCCAGTCCTGCGCCCGTAGAAGTCAATGGCCAAACTGACTTCTGTGGGACCAGGATCATCAGAAAGCCATATGTATATGTTCCAAGGTAATAATTCTCCTGTTCTCACATAGTTGTGTCAGCTGCAACAATTGTTTCAAAGAAGAAATTGATAGAATAAGCTGTCATGTTGTACTGTAGCTCTTAACTTGTCAATCTATTATTTTATTGGAAGAAGCAGTTTGTCAAAGCCAAACTTCTTTGAACTCAAGTTGCCCTCAAACTATCACAGTGAATTAATAGCAGTTAGTTATATGTTCAAAAAGGAAACAAGTTCCTTTTCCTTTTAAAAATTAATGTTACATAGCATTCTAGGGTGGAGAGAAAATCAAAACCCCTGATAAAGTTTGTACAGCACATAGCACAAAGGGCTCCTGGTCCATAACTAAGGCTCCTTGGCACTATGGTAATACAAATAAATAATATAAAAAAATAAGGATGGGTCACATTCTGTACAGGGAGACTCAGGTGAGCAAGATTAGGTTGAAAATCTTTTGTCCTCTATGATATGCACAGAATTATTTAGGATGCTCACTCTTGCTGCAGATTATTCTCTGGTGTTAAGTCATCCATTATTTCATCTGATAACCACAGCTGAGAGATGTCAGTGACAGAGAAGGGAGATGGGTATGATCTATAGTATTTCACTTGTTAATTACACAATGAACTAGAGCAGTGGTTCCCAAACTTGTTCCGCAGCTTGTGCAGGGAAAGCCCCTGGCGGGCCGGGCCGGTTTGTTTACCTGCCGCATCCGCAGGTTCGGCCGATCGCGGCTCCCAGTGGCCGCAGTTCGCTGCTCCAGGCCAATGGGAGCTGCTGGAAGCGGCGCGGGCCGAGGGACGTACTGGGTGCCACATTACTGACAGCATGTCTACTTCCAAAGTGATGCATTGTGGATAGGGGCACTCATGAGAGCTAAGAAACATTTTGGAACTAGATTCAGAGAGGTCTAACTACCTCCTGCAAGGTGTTTATTGCCCTCAAATCCTGTGGGATTCGGTGGGAATTGAGGGTGTGCAGCACCTTGTAGGATTAGGATAACTAGTAACTAGTTGAAAAATTCAGCATTTCTTTCTTACACAAGAGCTTGGTTTTCTCTTTTCTATTCTGTAGAGGTTCTTATACCTCTCTCATTACCGTAGTATCTGAGCACCATCCTGTAGCGTATTAAGCAGTGTGACTGACATCTTTCATGTGTTCATTCTGATATCCTCTCTCTAGGAAGTGAAGTGTGTGCAGTGGAGTGTCTTGTTTTGTTTTGTTTTGTGCCCCTTTCCTTACTAATAATCCTATTGCACTGTTCCTTCCCCCATTTGAAAGTTCTGGCTATGAGCCTATGCACTTTATACATGAAATCATGAAATGCTCTGTCTCCAAAGAGACTTCTCCGTGGCTGTTGTTTTGTTTTGAGGGTTTCTTTTAGTACTGACCTACTAATTATCCATGCATAAAACTCTCTCATAACATGAATGAAAAAGAAGGCTCCTTCCTTACTCTTCAGTGTTGTGTTGGGGTTCCCCTGAGACCTTTTCCACTCAGTTCCCAAGAACTCAGCTCGACTCCAGTCTCGTCACTCAGTTTCCTTTATTTGTCATACAGCAAAGCTACACTGAGTAGATCAAGCTCAAGCATAGAAGATGGGTATAAGGCAAACCGCACTTTCAAAGGTACACAGCAAACCTCTTCCTTTATATAGATTTACACATTGCATTTCATTTACTATACCGTTGCATTACATGTTTTGAAATTGGCTTGGTTGCTTTGTAGGAACCAATCCCTATACAGCATGCTTTGTCCATGCACTGTCCATGCACAATTTACTCTTTACGTCGTCTCTACATTACCAGTTTATCTAGTCCATTGTAAATGGTTCCCCCTTACTGTAGCTAGTACAGACATTTTGTTTCCAGGCTGCTGATCCATTTACCTTCTAATCCTGTCTCCCAAAAAATAAAGCCTTACCTATGACAATTACTCATGTCAAGCCAGGCCTACATGTTGTATTGTGGTGATCTCCGAAAAGTGAATTATTCCATAACCATATGTATGGAAATACCCAGGCACAATAGGTAAATTAAGGGCTGGGTTTTATCCGTATTATGTAAGCAATTTAATCCAAATCACTTAGGGTCAGATTTTCAAAAACAGCTTCTACATTTGTGTGCATAATTTTGTATGTACAAATAAATATAATTTGTGTGTGAAAATGGAATTGTGTGTTTAAATCAAGTAGTTAAATGTCTACCTGATTTGTACAGAAGTAAATCTGCACAGACAAATGCAGCAGCTATTTCAATGCTCCTTTGATCATTAGGTCCTGGATATTATTTCAAGGGAAAATGTCATTTAGACTCAAAAATTGATACATCTCAAAATAACAGGGCAGTGCTAATTTCAGGTTTAGACCTTCTGGTATCAGGTGTGCTGGGGCCAACTCCTGTTGTCCTTTAAAAGGCAAATCTTCCATTGAAACAAACAGTAGATTCACCAAAGTATAGAATGTAAGAGTTAGCCCCTGACATTTTATTTTGGAGTCTGAGCCACCGACCAAGAGTCATACTGTCCCATATCTAGGTCCTTATGAAGAACGTATTCTGGAAGGGCTCTGCCATACATAGTAGCTTCCCCATAACTACTCCAGTTAGTCTACTTAGACAGTCAGTTGCGTATTGATGCCATTGAAGATTGATACCCTGGTTCAAAGCAGTTTGAGATTCATTCTTATGCAAGAAAAAACACACACTAATGTCAGTGGGAGTTTTTTTTATACATCTGTAGCATTAGTTCCTTAATATTTCTTAGCAATTAAAACATTCCCAAGGATACAATTTAATATTGGTTAATATTGCCATTAACTGAAATATTACCAAGTATATATTTTGCCCTAAGGGCCAGATTATTCTTGGCTTTTGTGCAAGGATACAAGGTAAAGTCCAGGGGAGAAAAGTACGTCTTTGCACATTTGCTCTGTATACCACGAAGCTCAATCCTTCCCTGAGCTCTTGCTAGGATACTATGGCTCCATGCCCTCCTCCTCCACCTTTAAGGCTGTCGCTAAATGTCACAGTCAAGTCATTACAGGATATGTCCACACTGCAATTAAACACCTGTGGCTGACCTATGTCAGCTGACACAGACTGGGGCTGTAAAATTGCAGTTTAGATGTTTGGGCTTGGGCTGAAGCCTGGGC